AATATATACCAACATACATAATATATATGTATGTTTTCTTGTTTACTTTTTATATGTCAGGAAATGGAGGCTCAGAAATGTTAAAGGTTAAATATTAATAAACAAGTCAGGCTTGGACTTCATTTCTCACTAACGACAAAGGCCATGTTAAATGTAGTCAAACAATCAAACTTTTACCTATGGGAAAGTCAACTCCTAAAGAAGATATAGCGACTCACAAACTTAGCAAAAGAAAGCAGATACTAGTCTAGCCATTAATCTATAAGGCTATATTGAAGCACTGACATAATAATTTCTATTTTTAAAATGCTAAAATAATAATGATCAAAGGGCAGTTATCAATTGCCTATATTCACTGCAAAATCAGAAGAAAAATAGTAAACAATTCTAAATAATGTATATCATTATTTCCCCTAATTCTCTGATATTGTCTGTCCAAAAGTGATAGTTGCTTAAGGACTTGACTAGCTTATTATATGTTACACTCAACTGCCCTTGGCACTCAGTCATATGATAAAGGAGTAGAATTAGCCATTGCTATATCGCGTCTCACAGCCCCATGATGCCTTCTTACCATTGGAACAATTGTTGACATACTGTCCCACAGCCAGAGGGTTATGAATTTCTGACGTTAGCCATGTACTATCACTCATTTTTAAAGGGCCGAGTCGATCCCTCCCATTGCAAGATCTGAAACAGGTGAAAGCATTAGCTAATGGATCTGTATCTTAAAATAGAATTCCAAAATGCAGAATTAACCCTAGAATTACACAAGTGCTTTTTTTCTTTAAAAAAAAAAAAAGGCTTTTGTATAATCAGTAGGGCAATTGAGTTGTTACACAGCAGCTATCTAAACAGAATTTTATTTAAAGTATAAATGCTGGCCAGGCGCAGTGGCTCACACCTGTAATCCCAGCACTTTGGGAGGACGAGGCGGGCAGATTACTTGAGGTCTGGAGTTCGAGACCAGCCTGGCCAATATGATGAAACCCCATCTCTACTAAAAATACAAAAATTATCTGGGCCTGGTGGCACATGCCTGTAGTCATACCTACTTGGGAGGCTGAGGCAGAAGAATTGCTTGAACCCGGGAGGCAGAGGTTGCAGTGAGCAGAGATCACACCATTGCACTCCAGCCTGGGCAACAGAGTGAGACCGTCTCAAAAAAAAAAAAAAAAAAGTAAAAAAGTAAAAATAAAATAAAATAAAGTATAAATGCTGAGCTGGATGCGGTGGCTCAAGCCTATAATCCCAACACTTTGGGAGGCCAAGATGAGAGTGTCGCTTGAGGCCAGGAGTTTGAAACCAGCCTGGACAACATAGCAAGACCCCATCTCTTTTTATAAAAAATAAATACAGCACAAATGCTGTTAGTCATAATCATTGTGATAAGTGTGGTTCTGTCTCATTTAATTAAATTTGAACATGGACATCACTTACCTGTATACAACTTTTGATATTCCTTTGTCATTCCCATCAATGAGTACCCCATCCAGGCATCTAAAAATAAATGGATTTCCAATGGACTGGAAAAAGATCGGCTCATACTTCTGATATACTGTACCTATTATACAACAAGACAAAGAAATATTACAGCAACATGAAAAATCATAAACACTGCGGTAAGAACCCTTCTTTGGAACACAATCACATTCTGTTTAGTTACTTTCCCCCTTCTAAAGAGTGAACGCCCAATAGCAGATGGAGCACAGAACCAGGCCATCCACACAGCAAAACAGAATTTGGCTATCTTGATTAATGATAATATGAACAACACATTTTAGGCTCAGTTTTAAAAAGTCATACACACACACACACACACACACACACACGAACATATATATTTTTAAGTAGAATGTGATTTAACATCTAAAGAGTTTGAAGAAATTTATTTTGCTAATAATTAAATAATGTAGACACATATGGGAATAGATGAGTCTGACATTAAGGCTGTTTCTCCTTTCACTGGCAGAAGAGGAAATGAGAAAATATTTACCTTGTGTGTTCTATGTTCCAGGCATGTTAATCTATTTATTAAACTTGTTTTATTATTAATTAATTTATTCTATTTAGTTTTTACAAAATCAGGTTATTTGTACAGCAGGAAACTGAAACTCCCTTGCTTGGGGATGTAAAATTAGAAAACAGGAGAATGAATTTTTAAAAACCTGGGTCTGTCTGACTCAAATATTCACACACACACTTTCCACTATACCAAATAATATAATGTTAGTTTAACACATAACGTAGTCTATTTAGCATCTAGTAAATGATCTTGTGCCAAGAAATTGCCTACTTTTCAAGTGTAGAAAGGGCAGGAAGGTCTTTATTCGGTGATTTATGGGTTTAAACGCTATCTTTTACGTTTTGATCTGTACCAATTTTTTTTTTTTTTGAGATAGAGCCTAACACTGTCCCCCGGGCTGGAGCGCAATGCCACAGTCTCCGCAACCTCGGCCTCCCGGGTTTAGGTGATTCACCTGCCTCAGCCTACCAAGTAGCTGGGATTACAGGCGCACACCACCACACTCGGCTAATTTTTTGTATTTTCAGTAGAGACAGGGTTTCACTATGTTGGCCAGACTGGTCTCGAACTCCTGACCTCGCGATCTGCCCGCCTCGGCCTCCCAAAGTGCTGGGATTACAGGCGTTAGCCTATCCATACCATTTTTATTTTTAGCTATCAACTAACCAAACTGACACGTTTCTCTAGTGCTTTTTAAGTAATTTGTCAAAGTGGGTCATACTATGTTCTAAATTTAAACACTGACAGGAAAGCTTTCCTTGAAAGAAAAAGTGCATTTATCCCAACGAATACTCCAGGATACTTTCTAACATATAACAATTTACAAACAGTTAATTTCCGAATTAGAATTATAAAAATCTATGGAAACTCAAGTTTCCAATTTAATACCTTACTCTAAGGATTGCAAGGCTGGGTATTTTATTGAACTTATATTTATCAATACATAAGAGGCTTGGCAAAGTATAATATTAATCGTGCTGTTACCAGGATACATAGATACGACTGCGCCTTTTGGTACCAATCCTTTCGTAACGAAGACACCTTTTCCAGCAGAAATCAATGAGCTAGTTGCTTGGGCAACACTGAAACCCAGAGTCTTGTAAAGAATTTCTTCTGGCTTAAAGGTACTTTGCTGTTGATGTCTGTTTTCAAGCAGTTTCACCCCTTGATGTTCAACTGCCAGTAGGTCTTGATATTTTGATTTAACAGATTCTGGAAGCATAGTCAAGATTTCTGATTGTTTATTGAAATCATTTAAGAATAGAGCCTGGAAAACTTTCAGTAACGTTCCTAGGACATCTTCATCTGAGATAACTTTGTCTTTGGATTCCTCTGGAACATACCGGAGGGTCCTGAAAATGGGAAAAGTTTCTATTCACTACCCTTCAACTGGTAAAAGCCAAACTTATCTGCATAATTTTTGGGTTCTTGGCCTTAAGGAACTATAAGCTTATTCTCATGTGTGTGAAGGGCTGGGAACTAAGTTCAGAAAAGAATTGTTTGGGGGAGTTCTAGTTAGCTAACTCCCAACACTTCCCACCCAAGCAGCCAGTAATTATGAAAGACCCATTCTATACCATACGCTGTGGGGTCCTTACATTATTCCATTTTTGCAGACAAGGAAAGCAAAGTTGTTAAGGAACTTGCCCAAGGTCCCAAAGCCAGTAAGTGGGAGAGCCAGAGGCAGAAAGTAAGTTCAGCTCTTTCCCGTACTACACCCAACAGCCAAGCTGAATGTCATCACAATGACAATGAATGACCTCACATTAAATTGCTTTTTAGAAATGGCCTTGTAGATTCAAAGACAAATTCAACATCGTATACTTTGTGACACTCTCTCCAGGAGTACTAACGTCTTCAATGACTGCATCTCTTATTTCCATAATCATTATCTTTTTGTACTAACTGCATTATTTTTACTTGAACAAAAAAGTTGTAATTCCCGCCTCACGGTTCCGTAGTCATGATACAACTGATCTCCTGTTTCCCTAGTATGCAACCTTCGGGAAAGGGCTTTGTTTCCCTATTTTTCGGACACTGACTTCAGGGACGCCCGGTCGGCCTCTTTGGTGAGCACGGTGTTGAGATGATCACTGGTGAGCCCTCAATAACGCTTGCGGGACGCACCCCAATCCGAAACCCACCATCCCGACTTGCTTTTGAGTGGCGTTCTGCCCGTTCTTAACGCGCGAGCTACTCCACGCTATTCTCACAGCCGGGACGGGCTTCTTTAACCACGTGAAGTACTTGTATGAACTATGAAAATAAACCCTGGTTTGGCTTTTCTGAGGAAATTCAAGCACCTAATTAAGGCTTGGTGGAGAAAAAGCCACGCACTCTCACGCGGTAAGAGCGGTCTTTTAAAAAAGTTTCCATTTTTTCCCCAGATACAAGGTCCCTAGTCAGTGCGGAACGCAATACAAAACAGGAGACACCTCCGGCTGGCGAGCCCTGCCTCGCGGGCCCGGCAGCGCGGCGGACACTGGGAAACAGGACATAGGCCCCGCCCACCTGAAGCCACCGCCCACTTCAGGCTTCCAGCTCGCCTCTGACTCCACCAGCCTCGGCCCCGCCCGCCTCTGGCCCAGGGTCCTTAAACCCCTCCGCGGCCTCAGTCCCCGCCCACCTCAGTCCCTGCCCTCCCTGGCCTGCCCATAGCAGACCGGCAGTCCGCTTCAGGCAGTCCGCCTCGCGTCCCGCGGCCGTGGTGGCGTCTGGGAACTGAAGGCAGGCGCCCTTCGTTCTGCCGTCCCGCCCTCTCACCTCGGGTTGTGGCTTAGGTTCAGCGCGATCCAGGGAACGAAGCGGTACTTGTAACGGCCCCATCGCTGCCACAGGCCCCGCAGCAGACGTCCCGGCATGGCTGCCCCGCGGGGCCCTGACCAGGACGGCGCGGGGAAGGCGGATCGAGGCCTCGGGCCCGTCCCGGACTGGGAGGAGCGAGGACCGCGCTCGGCAGCCTTCCCCCGGCTCCACCCTCAGTGTCCCTGGCACCGCCTGACTTCTGTTGCTCTGGGGCTCCGTCCTTCCCCTTTCCTGACCTCTACCTCTGAATGAGAGGCGCGTAGAGCTGGAAGGAGGTCCCCTGACCCCTTTTTCTTTCTCCAGTCGGTCGGGTGTTTCCGTGGGCGCACACAGGCGCTAGCCCTGGTTGCGAGCGAAGGGTCACCGGGCCTCAGGGGCCAACTCGCCCCCGAGACCGCATCCCGGGAGCGGACCGCCTGGTTTCTCTGTCACGGCGGTCTGGCCTGCCCTTTGTCCCGGCCGCGCTCTGTGTTCCATCCTCCGTCCGCCTGAGCTCTGCCTCTTCCTCGACGTTCTCTCCCCCTCTCTTCGTGGCCCCTGAGCAGTCCGACTTCGGGAACCCGAGTTTCAGCCCTCCCCGACAGCAGCCCTTCTCCTGCGTGAACCCGTGTTCCCAAAGTTACCAAGTTTGGGCGTTTTGCGAATGTACACACGTAAAAGAACGAAATGTCATGATGCCCTGTTTTCACTCGTTTTTCTCTTCATTCACCCAAAAGGCAAAACTACGTGGGCAAATGTTTCTGAAAAACAGCTTTATTGAGGTATGGTTGGGGTACAATGAACTGCACGTATTTAAAGTGAACAATTTGATAGGTTTTCGACACCAAAACCAAGATAGGGATCCAGCCCCTCCCCCAGTCCCCAAGCAACCACTGAGATGCTTTTGTCCTTTTAATATGGTCTTGGATTCAATTTGGAAAAGTTTTGTCTAGAAGTGTTGCATCTGGGTTCATGAGAGATATTGTTCCGTAGTTTTCTTGTAGCGTCTTAATCTGGCTTTGGTATTTAGGCTAATGTTGACCTCAGAGGATGAGGTGGGAAGTAGTCTGTCTCTAGGTGAAATTTAAGAGGACCTTTACGACTGCTCCTTGTCAAGGCAAGATGCATACACACGCACACACATATTTAGAACATGTTTGGACAAAGTTCACTTTTAAGGGGGGCAAACTACAGGAATCCCTTAACCATATTCAAATCACCAAGTGTTTATTGACAGATAAATACGTTGGTATCATTTCCTCTATTCTTTGCCTGAGAGCGAGGTTGGATCCTAAACGGTAGTTGAAATTGAACGGCTCAGATCTAATAAAAACTCAGCCAAGGCCGGGCGCAGTGGCTTACGCCTGTAATCCCAGCATTTTGGGAGGCCGAGGCAGGTGGATCACCTGAGGTCAGGAGTTCAGGACCAATCTGGCAAACATGGCGAAACTCCGTCTTTACTAAAAAAAAAAAAAAAAAAAAAAAAAAACAAAACCAAAAATTAGCCGGGGGCTTGGTGGCACGTGCCTGTAGTCCCAGCTACTCAGGAGTGTGAGGCAGGAGAATCGCTTGAACCCGGGAGACGGAGGTGGCAGTGAGCCGAGATCCGCCACTGCACTCCAGCCTGGGTGACAGAGCAAGACTCCGTCTCAAAAAAAAAAGAAAGAAAAAAAAAAGCCAATTGCCAGTAGCTGCGGGACTAATTTGTTCTATTCTGAAAGAAATAAAGAGAAAAAGTATCCACCAGTGTCTCTATTTCATTCATATCGTATAGAATGTTAGCAAACTCTAGAGGCTTTTCTGTCAGACTCTGTGTTTGATAATTTGGCATAATCTAGATTTACCTGACTTGATAAATGGAGTCAATTCAGTTCCAGGATGTATTAATAAGTGGCATACAAGAAAGTTTCTTTATAGTCTCCAAACTTAGTAAAGAACCCAAAAGAACTACTTTAATCTTTACCTATGGCAATGTACTTGTCTCAAAAAAGAAAATAAATCAGTTTTTGTGTATTTTTACAGTGTTTTTTGTATTTATGGTATTAAAATTAAATTTTGGTTAGGTAAGTAATTAATGAAAACCTTTTTCTAGTTTCTTAAAGTAGGTTATTAGGTCACTAATTTTAATCTTTTCTTCTTTTCTGACGGAAGCATCTAAAGTTGTACAAATAGAAACATGGTAGCTAAAGCTCAAGTCACCCTTAACCAAACTCTATACCTTGTGCTTCCACCAATCCTGGTCCTTGGCGCTTCTCAGAAATGATCAGACTGGTGTGTTTTCTGCCAGTTTTATTTTTATGTATTTACATACCTGCGTATGTTTTTATAGAAAATACATAGTATTTTGTGAGTATTGTTAAAATACTATAAGGATCCACAACTTCTTTGATTTACTCAAAAATACTTCTTGAAGATCTACCCTTATTGGTTTGTGTAAGTCTACTGCATTCTTCTAGTTTTGAGGTTTTGCCTTCAAGTTTAGTATTTACTGTTATTTTCTGGTAGGTATACTTTATGAAGTTTTTTCAAGTTCTATTTTTGACTTTCCAAAAATTTTTTATTGTTTTAAATTTTAAATGAATGATAAATATCAAATACTTTTCTCTGTTTATTGAGATGACCATATAGTTTTTATTCCTTTATTCATGTAGTGAATGATGACACATTGTCAAATGTTGATCTGTCCTTGGATTTCTGACATAACTACTGAGTTATGAGTACCTCTTTGGTCAGATCCTGTAGGTTTTAACATATGCTATTGTCATCCCACATTATTTTGAAGTATGTTTTAAAATTTTTTAGATAGCATTTGCCTGTGAAAACATCTGGGCTTGTAATTTTCTTTCATAATGAATTCAACTTATTTTAAAGATACGGGACTATTCATAATGTCTGTTTCATCTTGTGTTGTTTGGTAAGTTATATTTTTATGGAATTTGTTCATTTCGTCTAAATTGTCAAATATCTTGGTATAAAGTTGTTTATAAATACCGTCTTACTAGCCTTTTAATGTCTGTATGATCTGTTGTAATAGCCCATTTTCGTTCCTGATTTTGGTGGTTTGTGTTCCCTTCTTCATCAGTGTAATTGAGGGTTTGTCAATCTTCAAAGAAACAGCTTTTGGCTTTATTACTTTTCCCTGCTTAATTTTTATTTTGTTGACCTCTGTTCTTGTCTTTTTTCTTTCTTTTTTTATTTTTAGTGATGGGGTCTCACTATGTTGCCTGAACTGGTCCTCAAGTGACCCACCTGCCTATGCCTCCCAAATCATTGGAATTACAGGCATAAGTCACTGTGACCAGTCATATTCTTATCTTTAGTATTTTATGTTTTCTACTTACAGTGGGTTTATTTTTCTCTTCTTTTTCTAGTTTGTCAGAATAAAATATTAGGTCACTGATTTTGGTCTTTCCTTCTTTCATTTCTATAGAAGCATCTAAAGTTATAACTATCCTTCCAAGCATTACTGTAGCCAAATCTCAGGAATTTTGATATGTTGTATTTTCATTATCATTCAGTACAAAATATTTTTAAAATTTCTTTGTGATTTATGTTTTTAATCCATGAAATATTTAGAAATGTGTTTTTAATTTCCAAATATTTGGGATTTCTAGATATCTTATTGTAACTGGTGTTTAGTTTAATTCTGTTGTGTCCGAAAACATGAATGAGTTCAATTCTTTTAAATTTATTGACTTGTTTTATGTCCCAGCATGCACTCTATCTTGGTGAATATACCGTGTTCAGGTAAAAGGAATATGTATTCTGTAGTTGTTGGGTTTAGTGTTCTATAAATATCAAGTAGGTCATTGGTTCATAGTGTCTTTTAAATCATCTGTGTCTTTATTGATTTACATAACATTTTAAATACAGATGAATGAAGAATGACAAATTGACAGTTTTATAATATATCATAGATAGCAAGCAAAAGATTGGCCATGATGGGCATGGAGATGTGCTGCTATCCAAAATTACTCTCTTCTTCTGACTCTTTTTCCCACTTCCTGTTGTTTCCAGTTTCCCCAAATAATTTACCCAATTGAAGATAAGAATGTATGTGCTGTGTTTTTCCATTTAAAGCCCATTTATGCTATAAATTACAAAAATACTGTGTAGGAAAAATGTTCTTTTTTGAAAAAAGGTATAGCTCACTGCAGCCTCCAACTCTTGGGTTCAAGCAATCCTCCCTCCTTATCCTCCCCAAGTAGCCAGGATTACAGGCACACACCACCATGCCTGGCTAATTTTTTAATTTTTAATTTTGTAGAGATGGGGTCTCACTATGTTGCCCAGGCTTGTCTTGAACTCCTGAGCTCAATCAGTCCTTCTGCCTCGGCCTCCCAAAGTGCTGAGATTACAGGCGTGAGGCACAGCACCTGGCTGGTAAAATCATCTTTAACATCAGTGTCCTAAATATCTATAAATAGGGCATGTATGCCTGCACAGATTGTAACTTCCAGAGCTCAAAATGAGATTAACTTGATTTTTAAATAATTTATTGAACTCCTACTATGTCCCGAGCTCTAGTGCAGGAGACAGATACTAAACACATAAATAATGTCAGACAGTGACTAATGCTGTGAAGAAAATAAGGCAGGATAATGAGAAGAGAGTGGGCTGGATATCTTATGTAGCCTTTCCAGAGCCACTGTCCACACCCTGGGGGATTGACTGGCTTACACAACAACAAGGTCCCTTGTCTTCCTGCTTCCAAGTAGATTCGACCAGTGGAGAGCACTGGCAGGGAACTTCAAAAATAGAGGAGAGTGAGGTGCTGGTCTCTGTGTACTGGCTGTATCCCAACCTAAGATGCTCTCCATGTAGTCTTCTGTGTTTCCGGGTTTCATTCAGGCCTATGGATGGTAACAGCACTCTATTAATTGCCAACTCCATGGTTCTATACAATCTCCCTGTGGTTTCCCTTCATTCTGTCCATGCTGTTACACAATTATTTTCAAATGTCTTATTTTGCATGTGTTATCTGTTTCCTGCTGGGACCCCACTCTCTTTATGTGGGTCACATGGTGTGGGATTAGGGGTAGCAATTTTTGATAGGCTGATGACACAAATGACTGAGACCTAAATGACAAGAATGCAACAAACTTGAAAATATTCATGGGGAGATTCTCCCAATGGGAAATGCAAAGGCACTGAGGTAGTGATATGGTTTGGATGTTTTTTTCCCTCCAAATCTCATGTTAAAATGTGACCTTCTGTGTTGGAGATGGGCCTAGTGGGAGGTGTTTGGGTCATGAGGGCAGATCCCTCACCTATGGCTTGGTGCTGTCCTCACCTCATTGAGTGAGTTCTTGCTGTGTGAGTTCATGCAAGAGCTGGTTGTTGAAAAGAGCCTGGCATCTCCTCTCTCCCATGCTCTTTCTCTCTGTATGTGATACACCAGCTTCCCTTTGCCTTCAGCTGTGATTGGAAGCTTCCTGAGGCCTCACCAGGAGCAGATGCTCCAGCACCACACTTCTCATACAGCTGGCAGAACTGTGAGGCAAAATAAACCTCTTTTCTTTATAAATTACTCAGCCTCAAGTATTCCTTATTGCAATGCAAATGGACAAGCACAGGTGGGGAGGAGCTTGACATGTTCAAGCAAGGAAAATAAGGTTATGGAACAGGGTAAGTAAGAAAAAGGGAAAGATGAAGTCAGGGAGAAAGAGAAGAGGCCAAGTCCTGTAGGTCCTGGTGAGGAGTTGGGATTCTTAGTGTAATGGGAAGCCACTGGAGGGTTTTAAGCAGGAGAGTGATAGGATCTGATTCATGTTTTAAAAAGATCACTTTGGATATTATGTGGTGAAAAGGTGGCAATCACCACACCGGTAAGGCCAGTTAGGAGGCGAATACAGTAGTTATGGCAGAGACGATGGTAGCTTAGACTAGGGTGGTAACTGTGGAGATGGAGAGGGTGGATGGATTGGGGTTCTATTTTGGAGAAACTCACAGGACTTGCCAATGGATTGGATATGGGAAGGTGAAGTTTTGAAATGCCTCCAAGAAATGTCAAGTAACTAGTTGAATATTCTCACATCTGGAGCGCCAAAGCCATAGCTGGTGAGAGTTTTTAGCCAGAGCACTGGATGAGATCATCCAGGAAGAAAAAGGGGATGGCAAAGAACATAGATTGAGCAGTGACTATGAAGTCACCTGTCAATAAATGCAGACCCCTCATAAGATGGTCAAAAGCAGTTTTAGTGATAGGTTTGAGTGTGTTTGAGTGCATTGAGAACCTAATGTGAGGCGAGGAATGGGAACAAGTGTGTGTGTCTCTTTCGGTAAATTTTATGGAAAGAGAGGAAGAAAAATGGAGCTAAAGGCAGAGAATAATTTGGTAAGATAAAAAATCTTATAGCATATTTGTGTGTTGATGGGAATGATCCAACACAGAGAAGGAAATTGTAGTGTGTGTGTGTGTGTGTGTGTGTATGTGTGTGTGTGTGTATTGGGTGTCGGGGGACAGAGGAAGTAGCAGGCACAACTTTGATTTCAAAATTCGGTGCTGGAAGAGAGATGATAATTAGAGATAGCAGATATTCTGTAGACTATTTGAATAGCTATGTAGCCTAATGTGGGTAACATAACTGGCAAATATTTATTCACTGAAAACTGTATGCCTAGGTACAACTTTAAAAGATTACAGTCTATTTGGGAAAACATATAATTTCTAAAAATTAAATATTAATTACCATAGAATTTCAGTGTGAGCTACCGGAGTTGGGGAGTGCTTCAAGGAGAAGTAAGTAGAAGAGAAGTAGAAGGGATTAATAGAAGCCAGCAATTCTCAAATGTGGTCTGGGGACCCTGGAGGTCCCTAGGATGTTTTCTGGGCTCTATGAGGTCAAAATTATTTTCTTAATTGTACTGAGATGTATTTGTCTTTACTCTCATTCTTTCTTGAGGGTACAGTGGAGTTTCCAGAGGTTACATGTGTGATAAAACAACAGATTGAATGCACAAGCAGATATGAGGATCCAACTGCCTTTTATTAAGTTAGAAATTACATAGATTTGGCCAGGCACAGTGGCTCACGCCTGTAATCCCAGCACTTTGGGAGGCCAAGACGGGTGAATCACTTGAGGTCAGGAGTTCGAGACCAGCCTGGCTAACATGGTGAAAACCTGTCTCTATTGAAAATACAAAAATTAGCTGGGCGTGGTGGTGGGCGCCTGTAATCCCACCTACTCGGGAGGCTGAGGCAAGAGAATTGCTTGAACCCGGGAGGCAGAGGTTGCAGTGAGCCGAGATGGCGCCACTGCACTCTAATCTGGGTGACAGAGTAAGACTCCCTCTCAAAAAAAAAAAAAAAAAAAAAAAAAAAATTATATAGATTTGAAAAAATATAAAACATGTCACTCTCCTACTTTTTTGGGGGTGAGATATAGCGATTTTTCATAAAGATATGTTATCTGATTTAACATGTAATAAGTTTTAATAGTTATTTCTTGTGAATTAATGCATTTTATGCATTTATCAATTTTAATATTGACATAGTAAATAGCAGCAGCTATTAACCACATGAACAAAAGGTCCTTGGGGGCTTCTGACAATTTTTAAAAGTGTAATGGGGTCTGAAGACAAAAATATTTGGGAAATTGAGTGTTAGAACCACATATTGTGATTCAAAATTTTGAGAAGGAAAGTATGTGACATTTCATTGAATGTTGTAGTTAATACCAATTCTGTGAATTATAGTAGTATGTTACATATTGATGAAATTAGAAAGTATTTTAAAATAATTTTGTGCTGCAGGACCTAAAATATTTCATAAAAAGGAGGAGAAAATGGTCTCTGCTAGTTCTTTGTATGAATTAGCAAAAGGCATCTTTTCCTCTGGCCACTTTACTGCCATCGTAAAAACATGTAATAAATACACAAATCTATTAGGACTATACTGTACAGCATGCCACATATAGGTGTGTAGTACACAGCTAGTTTTGGCAGTCTTGGGAATCAACTGGAATATTCTGTGGCAGCACTTCTTGACTGCTCTGAGAACAAAAAGTTTGAAAACCACTGGTGTGAGGGAAGGTGCAGAGGTGGGGTGGAACACAGTGGATTCGGAGAGCAGGAATATAATGAAAGGAGTAGAACAGAAATTTTGCATTAGGGATAGTAGGAAATAAAGATTTAGGCAGAGTAAGTTCAGACCATTAAAAAACATGGACATTTGAGGTAGTCAGCAGTAGATAGTCATTGAATGTTCTAGTAGCAGAGTACTAGCTGGAAATAGAGTTTGAAAAGCTCAGAGGAAGAGTGGTTGGCAGGATGCATGGATGGATAGATGCATGGATGGATATAGATGGATGGATGGATGGATAGATGACCCTGCCAGCTGTCAGCAGAGTGGTTCTGAGAACAAGAGACCAGGAAAGGGCATCAAGTATCTTGCTACAGCCTCTCCTTTTGTTGTTAAGTAGACTGTTGGAAAGAGGTAGAGGGACTAGGAACACCCTGTTATGCAATAGATAAGCATTGAATCTAGGTTTTAGAATGGAAAAATGCAACTCTCAGTGATTGTTTTGAGTTTTTTCAGCATTCTAAGGGGAGCACTGAGATTTCTGCTCTATTCCTGAGAAAGGGGTGAGATAACGTTTGATTTTCAGATATCTGGCAGTCAGTGCAAATTAAAGAAAAGTTTTACTCTGCTGCCCTCTTCTGGATGTTGCATAATTGGCCAAATAATTCTTCCACGTTGTTCCCTTCACTTTTGCTCCTAGACAGACTTCTTCTGGACAAAGTAGGTTATGCACGTCATCTCCATGACCATGCTTGCCCAGATATGATCATGTTTCCTTCCAGTTGGCTTCACTGGAATGGTCCTTGCCATTCCCCTTGTGAGACTGAAGTTCTTATCTTACCTGACGTCTGTGGCTTTTGAAATTACTGACCTTTCTTTAAAACATTCTCCTCTCTTGATTTCCCTGACCCTGTGCATTTCTAGTTTCTGAAGATGAGCTCTTGTCTCCTTTATCTATTCTGCTTCTGTCTATGCCTTAAATCTTGGTCTTCATCGGGGTTCTGGTGTTGGTTTTTCCTCACTGAACATATTCTCCTGAGTATTCTCCTCCATTTCCCTTGTCACTCATTGTGGTAGATGCTGTAAAGTTACCTGCTTGATGCCCATTCTTCCACTTCCTTACAGCTGGGGAGTTCTAGTCAAATGAAATGTGAGTGAAAATCTCAGAAGTATTTTTAGGAAAGTTTGTGTCTTCCTGACACAGGCACTACCTTTTTATTTTCCTTTTTCTTTCTCTGATTGTAGATTGGAGACCAGAGTTGGAGCCTGAGGATGAAAGCCTCATGCTAAGAAGAGTGGAGCGGAAAGATAAAGCATGGCAACATCGATGACATCCTAGGCCTCATACACCGGCCCTGACCTGCTTACCCTCTCTCGTTCGTAGGCTATGTGTCCAGTCACTTTTACATGCAGCTGAGTACAACCCTACATGATCTATCAATCGCTTCAGTGACCATTTATATGTCAATAGCTTTCACATTTATTATTTGCAACCAAAGTATCTCTGGAGGTACTGATGTGCATATACAGTATTACTGGAAACTTCTACTTGAATATCCTCCAGACAACTCGAATTTAACATGTCCAAAGCACATCTTGTCCTCCAGTCTACTCCCCTGTCATTTCCTTGTATCAGTAACGGCACCAGCGTTCACACAGGTGACCAAGCCTGAATAGCAGACGCATCCTCGATGTCATTCTCCATCCTCCTCATACCCTTCCCCCAAGGTCATTTCTACAATCTTTCAATTCTGCTGTTTAATATCACTCAGATTTGTCTCTTCCTCCTCATTCCTATGATGCTACCTTTACCTAGGCTCTGGATACTGCAATTGCCTTCTTTCTCCCTGCCTTTTGTATTGGCCCATGTGATTCTTTCTTCAAGATACTGCAAGGGTGCTCTAACGCACAAATATCGTCATGCCACTCTCTCCCATCTTTTTATTTCTCCTCCTATCCTTTCTCTCCATTTCACCCTGGTTACAATCCTCATCCTCTCACTATGTCTACATAGATGTTGAGAAATCTTATTAAGCAAATTGACTTTAAGGGAAGCTATCACTTAGTTATCTCAAAAATAAACTCTTAACAGGAATCTCAGCATTGTGGGAAAAAGAATTTTGGGGCATGAAGGATTTATCCCTCACCACATCAGCTTAGGCTGGTTTTACCTCTACAGATCTGATAAGCTACAAACTGAGGGCCATGAGGCATGGGGTATAGAGATGTCAGGTTGCATACCAACTAATGAGATTGGCTTCAGTCATCGATGGAGTTCTTTTGGTAACAGATTGTGCAGACAGTTAGCTATTGCAAAATAAAACCTACAAAGTTAACTCTAACATTGACAACATATTTGAATGCTACATATGCATATTAATATTTTGTAACATGATACTTGAGCTATAGTGGTAAGCACTTCACATTAGTGTGTATAGTTAAGACATTAATTTTCTCTTCAGAGGTAAGCTCTCTAGCATCTATAATCAGCATCTCCACTTTTGTTCATCTCACATCTTAGAAGACAAAAGTCTTGGCTGGGCATGGTGGCTCACGCCTGTAACCCCAGCACTGTGGGAGGCTGAGGCGGGCAGATCATGACGTCAGGAGATCGAGACCATCCTGGCCAACATGGTGAAACCCCGTCTCTACTAAAAATACAAAAAAATTAGCTAGGCGTGGTGGCGAGTGCCTGTAATCCCAGCTACTTGGGAGGCTGAGGCAGGAAAATCGCTTAAACCAGGGAGTTGGAGGTTGCAGTGAGCGGAGATCATGCCACTGAACTCCAGCCAGGTCACAGAGCGAGACTCTGTCTCAAACAAAAAACAAACAAACAAAAAGACAAAAGTCTTAGATCCAATTTCCCAAAGCTGAGATTCCCCTCTAATTTTCTACCTCTTTTGTTTTCTAAGTCTGGGCACAGGTCAGAGGTCAAAAGGTAGTCAGCCACAGGCCAGTAGTCTAGCCCAAATAGTTTTTATAGTTCTTAATAAGGATTTAAATTAGTTTTTAATGTTTAAACATAGGGAATTGCACCTAAAATCCAGATTTCCAGTTTCTCTTGAAAATTTAGAGCATTTGACAACACCGGGCTTTCATTCTGACATGGTAACAGTGGCCTACCTTGGACATGAACTTGACGCAAACTCTTAGGTCTGCCATAAGCCTTGCTGGGGATCTAGTCCAGTGGGTGTTTTGAGTCTGTGACCTTTGGGTCTTTCATAAAAACACATATTGTGCATTCACTACATGCCAGGTACTATTCTACACCATTTATATAGGCTCTCTTACTTCTCACAACACTGTCACTTTCATTTTATAGATGCAGAAATGGAGGTTCGGAAAGTCAAAATGGGGGTCATGTAGCAGGTTAAGTGGCAGAACCAGATTTAACCTAGGTTGTATCTCAGGTCCTGTAGTCACCAAATCCGTCATTACCTACTTCAAGAGGCCAGTCCTTTCCTTTATCATCACAGCTCAACCTGGCATTTATGCTTACAGTATAATTTAAAACGGCCAAACCATGTCATGACATAGAGACAGCAATTTGTGTAAGTTTTCATTAGTCACTGTTTTCCCTGACTGTAGTTATTTCATGCATTGTTTTATAACAAATGACTTACATCAGCTCATAAATGCAATCATCGGCATTTCCATCTGAGCATAATAGCCCAACATTTTTCTGGTTTCTGACATGAAGACTGTCACCCATTTTATAAAATTATTAATATCATTTAAAAAGAATTAAGGAGCAATAGAATTGATTCTATTCATCTGGAACAAAAACTTTTCTCCAACTTAATATTTTTCTTAAGTGACAGAAATATACCCTTTTGCAAAAATACCCAAAACCTATTTAAAAGATGTACATTTAAAATCAAATTATACTTTGGGAGGCTGAGGCAGGTGGTTCACCTGAGGTCAAGAGTTCGAGACCAGCCTGGCCAACATGGTGAAACCCTGTCTCTACTAAAAATACAAAAATTAACCAGGTATGGTGGTGTCCACCTATAATCCCTGCTACTCGGGAGGCAGGAGAATCCTTTGAACCTGGGAGGCAGAGCCTTTAGTGAGCTATTGTGCCACTGCACTTCAACCCGGGCAACAGCGAGACTGTCCCCCCGCCAAAAAAAAAAAAAAAAAAATCAAATCATACAGAAACTTGAAACCAATGTAGAGAAACAAAATGGCTTCTGAACTCTGACATTAACCATCCTGCATGGAGATTGGTTACATGGGGGAGGGGAAGAATTAAGCAAGTCAGTCAGTATGTTGGGAATAATCGGAGTCACGATTCTCACTGCCTGAAAAGGAAGTTACAAATCTGGAAAAAGGGAAAGCTTGAGTGAACCCTGTTGGCGTTGGATTGCAAATGGAAGGTTGGTGTGAGCTCATGGTTTTTATGTGTATGTATGTAGGTATATGTATGCATATTTTACAAGTGTGTGCAGAACTGTATATATTCATATATATATTCTAGCTCTACCAAGAGAGCCAATGAGCGGTGACACACAGTAGAATTGAGCCTATCTAGCACCCAGATCTTGGTTTTAAAAATACTGTTCTCCATCAAAGGAATCAGAGCTCTGGGAAAATGGCTGATCCCAGTGCCAAAGGAGACACTTTGGCGTAAGATGGGGCTGAAAGTATGGAAGTGTTTAAAGAATAATGGTGGCTTGCCAAGGATAGAGAAGCTAGCTTTCAGACATTCCCACTGGGCAAATCTGCAACTTGAGCAAATATATGATACATGAAAATAAATGGGAGAAGGGAAAGCTCTTCTTTGCAGCAAAATGCTGCAAAGAAGAAGTGAAGGAACTAGATCACCATCTGGCAACCATCAGAGTAATATATTCAGGCAAAAAAGCTAAGAGCAGAGAGTTAAAACTGGGCAAGAAACGTGATATTTATGTAGTCTCAAATATCGCCCCTAAATACTTTCAATTATAAAGGTGGATTTTAATTATAAAAGGAAAGAGTAACTATACAGTGTTACTATCAGTTATCACCAGTGACAGGGCAAACGACCTGTCTGCATCCTGACATGACACACCGAGAGGAGCACAGCATCACCTGTGATGTTCCTGCCAAAAGTGTGTACTCTGAATCTAATTAAGCAGCAGCACCAGACAAACTCAATTTGAGGGGCTTCTATAAAATAATAATCTGAAATCTTTAAAAAATTAAGGCCATTAAGGTCAAGGAAGAACTAAGAATGGCCCTGGATTCAATGAGACTGAAGAAACATGACAACTGAGAGCAACTTGTGATCCTGGTTTGGATCCTCTTGCTATAAAGGACATAAATGGGCAGCTGGCGAAACCTGACTAGGGTCTTTGGGTGAAGGGTATACAGAAGTTCTCTGTGGTATTCTTGCAACTTTTATATAAGTATGAAATTATTTCAAAATAAATAAAAGTAACAATTAACATTTGTTCAAAAACTTTTATTTACTATAAAGACAAAAACACCAAAATAGGTACAAATACTATAAAATCGGTTCAATGGGGTAAAAATTTTAATTAAAATATCTCAATATATTTAAAATAACAAAGGATACATTTAAGCCAAATTTTCTTAACCCAGAGATTTTTTTTTTTTTTGTAACATTTGCTTACACAGTAAGGTGCTAATAGAAGTTAGCCCTTAAGCCCTGGAAATCTTAGGAATCATAGTCACACAGCAAATATAATTTCATTGTGAAAGTGAACTTTGGTAGAAGAAAAATCTATAGGACACCTGAGGTAGTAGAAACTGGAATAAACAGTAGTAGACGTTATTTACAACTTGAGTACCAAATAACATTAAGAACACAAAAATAATTACACGATACAATTTCCAGTCCAGCTTTGATCCAAAGAAAATAAGAATATTACATCACATTTGCATTGAAAACAAAACAAAAAACAAAACGCCACAATTACCAGCAAGCTGAGGGAACTGCAAACAAACTCAAACACAATGGATTTTGAAATCTACAAGATGGTTTGAGTTTGAAATGTGGTGGGCATGGTGATCTACAAAGTAATACTGATTAGCTGAGGTTCCTCAGTTTATACAGTTTACATTTTTGTCAGACACAGTATTCATCTGACCAATGATCTTCCAGTACATAAAATGGCAAGAGTGCATCCTTTAAAGCTTGCACATGAGAGACTTGGAAACAATCTTATTAGAATTGTGAAAATTCTAAGTAGTCAAAAAATAAAAAATAAAAAAAAAAAACCAAAATAAAACAGAAAGTCAAGTACAACACATTTAGAGCTACCAAACTTCACATTTCTGTACTATTTTTAACTCTTCAAATATCGCCAATCTTCCAAAACAAAGGAATGTAAAATTTCACTAAGAAACATATTCACATAAAAAACAAACTGCCTTTTAAAAATTATAAGCAATATATCCCTGTAAACTTATCTTGTAACTTATTGTATTTCCAAT